AGCGAGATCCACAAAAGTTTTCTAACCGAGACCACTACATTTTCTTTCTCGTTTGCCTTACGCTCCCTTCTCAAGTTCCATTCTGCAGTTTAGTGTTGCACTTGTGAACACAGTTGTTCAATATAACATCGACTAATAAAAAAGACGTCAGCCGACTTCCATTACTTAGGGGAAAAGTACTTTGCACTCGTTGTAGATACAAAAACTCAAACTTCTTCTTCTCTAAAGATGCTCTTTTCATTAGGGAGGAAAAAGTAGGAAACAAAAACAGGAGTTTGCAGAAACGACAATAGCGAAAGTGCAGAGGCGCGACTGCTGAAACATTTTCTACCGTGGTTGATGAAAACCACTTTTCACAAATACGCCAAAAACATGGAATTGACAAATAAAGTACTTGAAGGCTTACACATCGTTGGGTTCAGTGACGGGATCGCGCACTTCTGGTGTTTCTTCTTCTGTGTAGACGAGTGGTGTAGTTTCCGTCACTATTTTGGCGGATTCTTGAGCAACTACGTTTTCGGCAACGGCATCCAAGTGGGACCAGTCAAGCTCCAGCTTGAAAGAAAAAACCAGATCAGAACGGTAGAAGCTAAGACCAGACTAATTTTATTACCTTGCCCAAATTAGCTCTTTCAGCGATTTCGGCTGCCTGCCGCAAGGCATCTAGATGATGGTCCATCTGCTGCAGTGGCTCACCCATCGCCTAAATAATTATTCAATGAGAAAAAGTATCCGTCGAACGACCAGAAGCCCAAAATCTTCTTACTTCTCTGTATTTTTGGCTGATGAGGGAGAATGGTAGATATAGCGCCCAGCATACAGTGGCTAATGCCGTGGCACGTGCTTCGAGCACTCGGATATCAACCTGAAATGAACACATATTCAAAGGTATGCAATTTTCTCACTTTTCCCCCTAAACTCACCGCTGGGCTCGCTACTGCACTGAGCAGATCGTCAAAACGAGGCATGACACGCAATGTTGCCTGGCACAACATATGATTGAGCTGTGGTGATGCATGCTGCAGAGGAACAGCAGCTAGCTGATCAGTTAGCTGATGACAAAGACGGAGCACAGCGACGCAGTGTTGTAGAAGGCCAGTCACATCATACACCCATGTGTTCTTATCGAGAACTTGTGCTTAAATGATATAATAAAGGAGATTAAATTGAAGAAGATGCTGGAAAAGCTCATTTATAAAGTGGAACAAAACTGTCATTTGAACTTCTACAAATAAAGAATAGGCGAAGTCTAGAACATAGATAGAAAAAATTTATTAGAAAAGGTTCATTTCGACCCCAAGTCAGTGCTGTCATTCTTTACCAACCTATCAACCTTACGGGATGGAATCAAACTGAAACTGCCTCACCTCAAAGGTGCAAAAGGCACTTCTCCACAGCCTTATGTCCTAGTGAAGTAAAGTATAAATAGCAAATCGCTTCCCTGAAGCGGTTTTTATAAATTCTTCCCCGAACTACTTCACATCCTTGAATTAAGATGACTCATGTAGAAAAAAATGCCCAATATCTAGATAGAAATTGTATCTGATGGGATGGATCAAAAGCTTACGGCATGCTCATGGCGTTAAAACATTCTCGCAACACGATTCTAATCATGGATCAGGTTTCTCCGAGATCAGTCGCGTATGCGAATATATGGGGTTCTATCAAAATCGACAGTTCTTGGCACCACTGTAG